CATGATGGAGATCAGTGTTTGCTTTAGTTGGGCTCTTGAACCTTGGTTTTTTAACATTATTTTTAACTGGTTGCTTTAACCGTTGTGTTTCTCAACACATTTGTTGTGGTAAAAAAGAGCCAAAGCACAATATGTAATGCTGTTGGTTGTGATTTGCAAATGACATTGCCATCTTTAAAAAACAGGTTCACTGATTTTGTCTAGAGTCTGTTTTTGTACCAAAGCGATGTTATGGTAACATACTAGAGCAGAAGAAAAAGCGGGCTATTATGGAAGTTCACAAACATCACAAAAAAAAAAAAAAAAGCATTGCAGCATGAAGCTTTTGATTGTCACCATTGTTGAGATTCATACGCTGATTCTTGACGTCTCTGCGTGGCTAAGAGGTGTTGTAGTTTTTAAGGCAATGAACATAAGACGTTTTTAAAATCCATCATAATTGTCTATCATCTCAAATCGCAGTGTCATACAGCTATCGTAAATAACATGGAACAAGTGAAAACCCACACTATAGTTTTATAAATCAGCCACTGAATGAGATCAGTGAATCAGGCCACAAAATGATGATTACACCATCATCAATAATTAACCAGAACCATTTAATAATAATTTTCTGCACTTTTATTGCTGTGACAAGTGTGCTTTACAAACACAGTTACAACAACCAAACAAGCTAACACTAAAAAGTGAAGGGTCAAGAGCCCAGCTAAAGCAAACACTGATCGCCACGATGGTGAACAGCAGAAGGATACTTTCTCGAAAATAACAAATATTACCCAGAATACATTGTTTTTTTTACGGGATGGTACTGTTGTAATGAAAAAACAGGATGTTACTGTCAGAATATGGCCATTTTTTTACAGCAATTTTTTACAGTGTGTTTAACCTAAACTAGGCTACAACGTAACATTAATGTAGACCTATACCGGTATCTAAATATGATTTTATAATTTTATGCTATATAGACCTACCACATTACCCTCCACTGGATGTAGAATGAGCAGCAATAAACTACAATTTGGCATTTTGTAATACGTATGTGGATATTTTGGTGAAAGTAACTCAAAAGTAACTCAAAAGTAGTGTAACGCATTACAATTCAGAGACAGTAATATTGTAATGTAACTAATTACTTTCAAAAGACAGTAACTAGTAATATATAATGTATTACATTTTGGAAGTAACTTGCCCAACACTGCTCATAGACATCACTAGATGCTGAGTATCTTCTCTGGTGATGCTCTGACAGCCCTGTACTGCAGTGTCTTTAGCTCTTTTGCATGGGTAAGCGGATAAACTTAGCATTCAGGTCCAAAAACGGAGGTAACTTTCAGGGTATGTAATTTTTTTATTTTAAATTTTTTTTTTGCAACAGGACGTTTTATATAATATATTTCTATAATAAAATGATATGTCTTATTATATAATCAGCATCAAACAAACAATATAATTCTTATTCTCAGTGATTAAAGATTAAAGATGAAATGAAAAGATTGAAAAATTATTGTGCAACAACCAATTAGATGGCGATATGCACTATATACTGTATGTAAATGGCCATTGAACAAAACAAGTAAGAAACAGCATGGCACACTTTTTCTTAGCATCAGTTTCCATGGTGACTCATCGATTCGTCACTCTGTTGAGAATCCCTGCGTCCCAATCTTCATACTATCCATCCTAAATAATATGTGAGATTAAAATAAGTGTGTACCAAAGCATAGTAGGCCTATGTTGAAAAGAGTACGCCAAAATTCCCCGGATGGTCTACTATTTCAGGTCGATTTTTGAAATGTGCATCCATGCACACTCTGATGGCTAATATTATAGCAATCCATTGTGCTTTGGTGAAGGATTCGGTTCAGAACTACAAACACGAATAAAAAGCGTAAAAAAAAAAAACTACAAACATGGCGGATGTCCGAGACGGTTAAGTAGAAAGGTTTAGATAAAGGGGTTTGAGTTACGATTCTTACTCCCAGATGCGTTTTTGGAACCAACAAACCTCGAGTAAGCAAGGTTTGGGTTAATCAACCGAGAGTTCAGAGTAAGTTAACCTTGCTTTCTGGAATACAGCTCAGTACTCTGATATTCAATAGTTGCTCAATGAATGGAACAGTGAGAAAGGAAGGAATTAAGATAAGAAATTAACAGAAAAAGAATTTTAAGCAAAAATCTGTTTGGGTGTTGTATCCCATACGAAAATCACTTGGCATCACATTGCATCTCTTACTTACTTAATTTATACCAGGACACTATAGAATATTTTGAGTGGCTGGCAGATGTGTGAAGATGTTGAGTTATTGATTTATTGATTTATTTATTTATTTTAACTGCATGGCTAAAGCAGTTTGAAGTTTTCATTGCATTACAGTTTTAAATCACTGTGACCAATTTCATATTATATTCATATCATCAATTTCAGATCTGTTTTTTCTTAATCTCAAACAATCAATGGAAACATGCAGTTTAATTTAACAAACAAACAAACAATAAATAAATAAAATGGCTTAAAAACAGTGCCTTTTCTGTTTTCATTTATCGTTAAGCGGCAAGTGCAGATCATAACACAGGTATTGTGTTCTCATTTGTTTGACTTTAATCCCCAATTCTATAGTATGACTGGAATAAAGCAGTGGACAAATGGAACAAACTTCACCCAGCAATGTTCTTGGATAAGAAGGATTTCAGTGTTGAAGTATGTTCAAAACTCAAACTTCCGTTCAGTATTGATGCCTTTACTTTAACACTCTTTAAGTCACTCTGACATTGTAAATCTTCCCTCACACAGGTGATTCAACTGGATTATAACCAGAAGGACAAAAAACCCATCGACAATGTCTACTTCTACAGTAAGAGGAACCCCACTGTAGCCTTCAAGATTAAGAAATATCAGGTACTCACACCAATGTGCTGCTCATGTAATTTAGCAGTTCTAAATTTTTCACCAGTTAAAATTACATATATATTTATTTTATTAATGTATTATTAGATTAGTTACAAAATATTATTTAGAATTACAACAACAACAAATAAATGCATAATGGAACAGAAACTCAATTTAAAAACACATTAATGGCAACAAATTACTAACAGCAGGTAATCAAGCCATATCTTAATAATACAATTCTAATCATCCTGATGACACTGGGTTCAGAAAGTATTCGGGCACTTATCTTTTTATTTATTTTTTTATTATTATTTTGCAGCCTTATGCTAATGTTTTACATGACTTTATTTCACATCAGTCTACACTTCACACCCCATAATGACAAAGCAAAAACCAGATTGGTGATAACTTTGTAAATTTATATTAAAAATAAATAAATATAAATATAAATATTACACTGAAGTATTCAGACACCAAAAATACTTAATTGAAGCACTTTGTGACTGATTACAACATTACGTCTTTTGGTTATGATGACACAAGCTTTGCACTCATAAATGTGGGGATTTTCTGCCATTCTTCTCTCTCAAGCTCTATCAAGGTTGGATGAAAACAATCATCAGACATTTTAAGATTTCTCTAGAGATTTTTTATTGTGCTCAAGTCCAGGCTTTGGCTGAGTTTCTTGAGGACATTCAGTCTTGCGCTGTCCTGTCTGTTTGCTCAGGGTGACCTGAAGTAACAATCATGTCCTTGGTCATCTCTCTTACCAAGGCATCAATTGCTTGCTCTGGCTGGTGGTCAGGCTCTAGGAAGAATCCTGGTTGTTCCAAATGCCGTTTATGAGTTATAGAGGCCACCAGTGGCGGCTGGTCAATAGGGGGCGCTGGGGTGCCGCCCCCTCCAAGTTAGCCAGGGAAGAAACCTACATCAACGTTAAAAATAAGTAAAATATATATTGCTAAATATTCACGAAATTATTATTTAGTCATACTATTCGACTGGTAGTCATTTTAGCACCTATAAAACATTTTTTTTTTTAATAAAAAAAAACTCTATTTCGTTTGTTGGGTGTGTACGGGGCGCCGGACAAATGGGTGTCTATTAGGTCCGTAAACCTTGGAAACGCATGTGACATGAGGCTGAGCTCTAATTGGCTTGTTTCAGATTGTCCTCGGGGCGCAGAGCACTGCACCCCAGACCCTCCCACTTTTGATTTTAGCGAATCAGTATTGTTTTTATATATTTTGGCCTCATGTGATTGGATATCTCTTCCGAGATGAAAGTAAATTCGATTTTATCGTTACAAAAAAATCCTTTAACAAGGCATTCGAATGAAGAAGAAGAAGAAGAAGAAAGAAAAAAAAAATACAGATCTTGGACGGAGTTGGCTAGCTGGATGCGATGCAAGTCATGGCTTTTATTGTTTTCTCTGTTTGTTATTTCAAAGTCCTGTCACCGAAACATTGTGTACAATGACACAATGCAGTTTAACTACAGTCTATGATTTTAACTTGAGGCGATCATCGTGGTCCAAGCACAATGGCTTGTGTAGATAATATAGTTATCCAATGGACATCTCTGTTTTCAAGTAAAATATGAGTCTTTATGGAAGTATTATTGTATGCGGATTATTAAAATATCTTCAACTGGACATACATTTAGTCATGTCTGACAACTTGACAAATATGTTGTCAATACCATTAAAATTGAGATAAAAACAAAAATGATGATCTATAAGTATTTAGGAGATTGCCGTTTTTGCATACTTATTATATTGGGCAATTTATTGAACAATTTTCACAGTCTTTAAACTAAGATCTCAAAGGATTTGATATCCTGTGGCTCCCTCGTGTGGACAACATTAGTATTATGGCTTTAATCTCTGAATCACATTAATATAAATGGCTGATTTTATTTTATTACTATTATTGTGATTTTTATTTTTTTTGTAGTTCCATTCTATACAGTACATAGCTTAGCTCTGTTTTACACTGTGATATCCACAAAAATACTAAAGTAATCATAGTATTCACTTATTTAGTCAATCTGGGTAAATCAAAGCAAGTTTTTTGCTAGATCTGTAATTGTTTGTTTTTCTCGTGTATCACAGGTATCCAGTCTGCTGCCAAAGAAGTTTACTGAATATGTTGGTTGGGTTTACTACACAAAAAACTCTGAGGAGAGGGACGCTAAGGAGTGCTTTGATTGGTGGTGCCGTGGCATGGTGTGTATATGGTTTATCATAGTATATGGTGTGAGTCACACAAAATGTCTCGGTTATGTATGTAACCCTCGCTTCCTGAAGGAGGGAACGGAGACGTCACGTCGTGATCGACGAATTGGGATCTCGCTTCGAGATATGTAACTAATGAAGTAACTAAACGAGCCAATGCACATTGGCATGCAATTACCTGGGGTGACCTGGCCACTCAGCGGTGGTACAGCAGCCGTGGCGACGGGATGTGATGTCTCCGTTCCCTCCTTCAGGGAACGAGAGTTACATAGGTAACCGAGACGTTCCCTTTCAGTCGGTCACTACGAGTCACGTCGTGACCGACGAATTGGGATTCCCTATCAAAGCGCCATGGATGCTGGCCCTTCCAGTGCCCTGTGCGAGCCACCTGCGCCCCTTTTTGGTGTAGGCCGGGACTCGCAACAAGAAGATCATTCACCGTTGTCGTAGCATTACCCACTCAGTGAGATTGGATAACACTGGAAAAACATACCTGTACCACTTGGAACAGGAACGTTGCGGATGCCCCATCTACCACTTGGGACAGGAACGTTGCGGAAGCCCCATCCTTCCTGAAGGAGGTTTCAGAAGCAAATACACATATGAACATCCGTTTAGGTGCATATGGAAAATTGAAGGTGATTGTAACCCTCATGGAATAGCAGAAGTCTGCCGGGGAAACACGGGCTCTACATATGTAACCCAGCCCTCTACCGGTTCTCACAGATTCATCGAGTGAGGACCTGGCGCCGGACGTTCCACCACGTCTGGCTGCCGAGGGGAACGGAGGAGCTCGACAGGGCCTACAGTACGGATACTCTGGAGCAAGCTGACACTAACCGGGACCTCTCAGTGCCTCTACCCGTTTGAGGTGAGAACACAGGAGGAT